TTTTTGTGTAGAGCAAATGTGGGGAGTAGGGATCCAAACTGAGTCTTGAAAAATGTCCAAAGCAGAAAGGCCTGAGGGACAAAAAGGGCCTCTTTCTGGCATCCAAATCAGACTATGTGAACTTTGTCAAAACTGCAAGGCAGCAGACGTGAACTCAGCAGTTTTGAGGCACACACTGTTCCTTCGAGGGAAATTGTGACAACTCAAAGATGAAGGTATTCTGGGAGCAATGCCCACAAACCACTGCACTGTGGGAACTACCAGATGGGCGCTCCGAAAGGACAGAACACAAAGTAGATGGGGGAGTCTCTATCATGAGGTGACTGGTTGGTGGCTTATTTTGAGACAGTCTAGCTCTGTGATTCAGGCTGGCATCGAACTCACAGCGATCCCCCTGCCTCAACCTCCCAAGTACTGCGATTGCAGGACTGCGCCCCCACGCCCAGCTCTCGATGTCTAAATTTAAAGAAATATATTTTTGAATCCCAACGCCCTGCAGGTACTTAGACCAGAAAAAATGTGGCCTGCAGGGTTAGGTCTGAAAATACTACGGGAACACAGGCAGGCGAATTGCCTTGTACTACAAGGCGATTACGAAACACGCAGCTGCTCCTCTCCGCATTCCGAGACGCCAGGTGTTATCTCACAGTAAGTGAACACTTAGAAAGAAGAACCCGTCGCCGGGGCAGAGAAATCTGGACCTCGCTAGCACCGCGAAGGCTTTGGACGCGGCTGTGACGCCAGAGCCGGGGTCGGGCGGGGTCGAGCTCGTTTTTCCCTCCTCGGCGGCGCCGTGGAGAGAGCTCGGTCTGAAGGGACTCGACCCCGGGGGAGCAGCAGGGGAGGCTGTCAGTCACCGAAATGCGGGAGGCCGACGAGAGGTCAGCGCTGGGGTAAGGGTGGCAGCAGCGGCGAGGGAGGGGCAGCGCGAGGCCTTCACGAGTCTGCACGGCCGCGAGGCGGTCACGGGGCGGCCTCCCCCCTCCCGGGCTCGGGCCCCAGTCACTCACATGCGGGCCCGCGCCCCCACGGGCTCCTCCCGCCTCGGGGACACCAGCAGCCCGGCGAGGAGGGTGAGCCGACAACTTCCTGCTTCCGGGAGCGGGACCCGGAAACAATTCCACGCCACACGCGACGCCTTGCCTCTGCCCGCCCCACGCCTCGGTCGACTGCAGAACTGGATGTCACAGCATGAGGGGGACTCTCGCGAGACCTGGAGAGCGCGGGCTCTTGCTCCCCCTGGCGTTGGGCTCGCGCTGCGGCTCTTTGGAAACTGAACGGACCCAATCTTTATAGCTGAACTGATTCGGATGACATTTTTTTTTTTTTTTGGTACCGGGGATCGAACTCGGGTCCTTGCGCTTGCGCAGCAGGCGGCGAAACCACTGAGCTAAATCCCCGGCCCTCAGATAACATTTATTAAGTCCCTTACTCTGTTCCAGGCAGTTTGCTGGCATTAAAGGATAGGAGCCAGAGGGATACAGAAATGGAAAGCAGAGCTTTCCGTCTGGGAGCTGGAAGCCAGGGAGAAAGACAAGCGGATGGATCACTCGCATTCACACCTGGCCCCCTCCCCTCCTTAGCATGTACTGGGCACTTACTGTGTGCTAGACATTTCCGAGCACTTTGTATTTATGCTACAGCTACAATAAATAGCCCCACAGTGCTTAGCTCTGTGGAGACCAAACGAAGTTTATGGAGCCATTAACTTGCTCCAAATTGATCTCACAGATAAGAAGTGGTAGGGTGCACATTGAAGCCCATACTCTATCCTGCTCAGTCTACAGTGCCAAAGCTCTTAACTGCTTTCTCCAAGCTATCTACATGGCTGTAATCCCAGCACTCTGGGAGGCCGAGGCAGGAAGATCCAAATTTGAGACCAGCCTGGGGAATTTAGCGACTTAGCCAGGCCCTGTCTCAAAATAAAAATAAAAACGGTTGAGGACATAGCTCTGGCCAGGGGTTCAATCCCCAGTACCAAAGGAAAAGGGGAAAAAAAGGTCAGTATTGTTGCCATACAAGTGACTGCTGAGCACTTTTCGGGTGGTGAGTCAGAACTGAGATGATTTGTGAGAAAATGGATACACTGAAGGAAAGCCAGCTCCCCTCACCCACCTGACAGAATCCAAGGGCGATAAGAGACAGCCACCTAAGGATTCTTATTTAATCTGTAAGACAGACATGCACACACACCCCTAGCATATACACACATGTATGTCCTCTAACATCAGTATAATATCGCACCAGATACACACATGTACACCTGTCTCCTTAATCATTAAGTAAGCTGCCGTCCTAATAAGTCTGCTCCTTTCACTTACTCATTACAAAGAAACCAGAAGAAACCAAATGGCCAGAAGGCCTAGCTTAAGGTCAAAGACAATCAGCACCCACCCGAGGAGGGGAAAGACACTAATTCTCAATAAAAGGAGGCAGGGATGAAAGCTCCTGGGCTTTCAGCTCTGAAGCTCCTAATATTATTATTATTATTATTATTTGGTGCCAGGGATTGAACTCAGGACCTTGGGCTTTCGAGGCAGGTGGCGGAACCACTGAGCTAAATCCCCGGCCAGGTATAAATATTGTTGGCAGTCAGATAGGACTGGGCCCTTAAGAGAGTCAGTGCAAAAGATGCAAACACATCACAACTGTGGCACATCAGTTGGAGACCAGGCCCGCACACTTCCCCAAGGAATGAGATAAGTGGTATCACCTGGTCTAATGAAGTCTAGATAGGCATCAGTCACCTCGGTAAGTGACCAAGACCTCCAGATCCATCCCTTCCTGAAAATGGATGTACACTTGGCTATGTGATTGGCTCCCCCATTGGGTCACTGTTACTTAAGTGACTATTCTTGTAACTTTATTGGTTGATCATAGCTTTAACCCATGTTGTGCCCATGTGTTGTGCTCTATAAAACTTCCCCTGTGAAATGGGGTCCCCGGCAACCCATTCAGGACCCCTCCCACCTCTCAGGAGCTATCCTCTCAATAAATATTTCCTACTGTTAACCTCTGTTGTTCCTTACAATTCATTCTTCAGTTTTGGGGAACACAAACACAGCGTATCTGACATCTAGCACATTGGGAGTTAAAATATTTCCCCTATATCATTTGGAGGTCTGATATCATTCCTTTATCACTATTACCTCATGATGGCTATCTATCCTCTTTCTTTTCCATCTTTTCCCCCAAATAAACCATCTTTTTTTATACTAAACTTTGCCTTTTTTTAGTTCTTTGCTGGTGCCAGGTTTAGGATCACCAGGAGCTGCGTTTTCAGTAGAGTAGTGGCCTGTCGTAACAGGGCAAGGTGAGCTCTCCACCCCTGGACATGACACCTGCCTCAAAATAAAAAAGGTCTGGAGATGTAGCTCAGTGGTAGAGTGCCTCCCTAACGTTCAAGGCTCTGGGCTTGGTCACAAGTGCCACAAAATAAATAAATAGATAAATAAATGTCAAATAGAGCAATGAACAGAAAACCTGAACACAGATAGTAGTATCACAAACAGGGCATCTAACTGGCAAACACACACATGAAAAAGCATTCAACTTCATTCATCATTATTTGTAAGTGAAAGGATTACTGAGATATCATTATGCCAGCTTCGGAATTCCTGAAGTGGGAAAGACTGGCAATGCCAAGCAGTGTTGGGGAAGCAGAGCCTCAGCAATGGCCCCAGGCTGCTGGCGGGCACAGACACTGCTACGGCCATGCTGGCGAACAGTTTGGGTTAACTTCTAAGTGATACATGTTCCCTATGACCCGGCCATTCTACTTCTAGGCAGACACCAAAAAGCTATGTGATGTTCACAGTGGCCTTATTTGTTAAGATGACTGACCCAGAAATATCATAGATGCCCATTAACAACAGGATATATAAATACCTTGCAGTTTAGGGCATCAGAGGGAATCTGAAGAGGTACCCCAAAAGGAGAGAGGGATTTCAACTCACTCTGGGTGGGTTCTTGATTTATTGTTACAGAAAAGCCTTCCAGGATGCCGTTGAGAGGCTTAGGCAAGATTATCAGGCCGAATCCAAAAACCGCACCCTCAAAGGGAAAGAGTGCAGGCACTGGGGGGGGGGGGGGTGAGGTGTGTTGTGGACTGGGGTTGGGTGTGTCCTCAAGACAGAGGACTGGGGTGTTTATCTTTTAAGTTATTTATTGCTTACCCAGGGTCTGTCAGAGCATCCATTAGTAGGCTCAGGCAAAAATTAACTTTATGGACTAGGTTAAAATACAAACTGTATGATACCTTTGAAGTTTAGAGACATGGTACCCAATGAATAGTGCTGTTTCTTTGAGAATGGAAGTCTTTAGAATTTGTGGGTTTACAGTATGGGAAGAAAAAAAAAGAAAAGAAAAACACAGGCCCAATTTACAGACATGTAGCACCTTTAAGAAACTTGGGCAGGGCGGTGGATTTAGCTCAGTGGTTCCGCCGCCTGCCTTGAAAGCACAAGGTCCTGAGTTTAATCCCCGGTACCAAAAAAAAAACAAAACAGAAAGAAACTCAGGCATTCAGGAGCAAGAAGCCCAGAAGAAACCAGGCCCAGGGGTGAGAAGGCATTATGACTGTGGAGAACTCTGATTAGGTCTGGAACTCCTAGTTTTGTATAACCTCCTCAAAAGTATAGTTTCATCAATAGAAACAAAAGTCTTTGTAAATAGGGAAGGGTGGAGGGGGTGAAGGGAGGGCAGGGGAATGGGGAAAAAATAAGAATCAAAATACATCATATAAGGTTACAAGATCTCAATGATGAATGTAACTGTATTGTATACCTAAAATATACCAATAAACCTAATGAAAGTATGTCTAAAAAATATATAGTCTCATCAAAATTACAACTTCCTTGTCTCCTTTCTCTTTTTTTTTTTGGTACCGGGGATTGAATTTGGGTCTTTGCGCTTGCGCAGCAGGCGGCGAAACCACTGAGCTAAATCCCTGGCCCAACCTGTCTTTATTTCTTCTATCTTATCTCAAGATGTTCATGACCAGAACACTACCGCACAAAACAATGAAAAATGGCCATTGCATACAACAACGTGGATATATTTCACAAGCATAATATTAATTAAGCAAAAGAAACTACGAATGAAAGAATACATACTTTGTGACTAAATTAAGATAATCTATCTCATTCTCCTTCAAGACTGAGAACATCAAGATAACAGATTTTCAGGGACATTCAAATACCAGTGGACACCTAGCAGTCTGCATAGTTGCCCTAAACCACCTCGGCTTCCAGCACAGCCTCATAAGACTGAGATTGTCCCAAGCAGAAAGATGGAGACCACACTGTTCCCTCAAGCATTAAGGACTTTTCCAGAGCCATCTTGCAAAATCAAACTGAGAGAACGATCCACCAGACCCTAGCCCACTTCTGGGGTTCTATAAAAACTGGCCTAGGGGGTGGGGATTTAGCTCAGTGGTTTCGCTGCCTGCTGCACAAGCGCAAGGACCCGAGTTCGATCCCCGGTACCAAAAAAACCCCCCAAAACCCAAAAATCTGGCCTTGTCCCTCCCTTTGTTAACAGGTCCCTCTGCTCCTCTTCATCGGAGTTGTGTCTCCCTTTAGCTCCTCCTGGAACTTCAAGTCCTTTCCCATTTTCTCTTTCTAACTCTGTCTGGTAAATTAGCCTATGCTGAGTTTCCGTTTTCACATCTGAAAAATGGGAGCACAAGACTGTTTTGCGGAATAAAAGAGATTTTTTTTTTTTTTTTTTAAAGGGCAAGCTCTGGCTAAATTGTACAGCTCCTTAGTTTCCTTAAGAGCATCTCTATCGCCTTTGTTTCTCCTCTTCCGTCCCCTTCCAATTGTGGGACTGCTCCGAATTAAGTGTCAGAGTACCCGTCCAATCAGAGAGCAGATTTGTGTTCCCGCCTTCCGTACCAAAAGGAGCCAATCAGGTCGTACGGAGAGTCAGGGCCCCGACCTTCAGAGATAGCCGGTAATGAGTCTTGCACTTTCCTGCGTTCTGGCGCTCAGCTTTTTCTCGGCTCACACCTCAGCTTCCTGGCCTTGGAAGAAGGCTCCATACTCTTCTTGTCCCAGCTTCTCACCTCGATCCCTCGACTCCTGAGGGTTGAAAGGCGGGGACCGGAAGTGTGCGCTGCAGTGACGGGTCCCCCGCGAGCCGTCGCCGGAAGAAGCTGCTGCTAGTGGAGGGTTCCGTCGGTTTGGTCATGGCGGCGATTCCCCCCGACTCCTGGCAGCCGCCCAACGTTTTCTTGGAGACCAGGTGAGGGGGTCTAGCCTGTGGTGCTGGACTGGCGGAGGCGACGCGGAGCTTGGGCCTCTCTCGGCCTCGGTTTGTCGCGCTGCTCCGAAAGGCCAGCGTCCACGTGGAGCGGCGGCCCGGAACCCGGCGACCACTGTCGCGGTCGTTCTCGTCGTCTATCTCGTTCACTCATTCACTCAACAAAGGTGTAGTGAGTGAGTCGACCGCCAAGCACGGAGTATCTGAAATCTGAGGGTGCAGAGGTGGCTAAACACACAGCCCTGCCTTTGAAGGTAACAGATAGGGAAATATTACAGTTGAATCACACATCGCTATGAAGTTACAAGAAAAACTTACCAAAGAGTGATGTGATAGTAATATAATTAAGCACCAGCCTGCTAGTGCCGTGCCTCTGATCTGTGGCATCACTTAGTTTAATCCTTCGGGAAACTCATATCATAAAGGTGCTGTTTCACCACCAATTTTAGCAGGGGAGGTGTCAGATTTTACAGATTACATTTCCTGACCAAAGCGGCATGGCTGGTGAGTGGAGGGAGCTCCTGTTTGGAGCCTGGTCGGCCTGTCTCACGTGCTGACCCTTTTTTTTTTTTTTTTTTTTTTTAAGAACCTTATTATCAAACACACACACAAAAATTAAAACCATTCAAAGAAGAACAGAGGGGCCGGGAATTTAGCTCAGTGGTTCTGCCACCTGTCTTACAAGCCCAAGGATCCGAGTTCGATCTCTGAACATAACTTGTTGCTGCTCTAACAGTACAACGTTGAAACTTCTTAGTTTGGCATGCAAGGCGATCTCTGTCTGATCGCTCTCTCTCTCTCTCTCTCTCTCTCTCTCTCTCTCTCTCTCTCTCTCCCT